TGCCCATAAAGCTGTTTGAATTGAATTGCCATGACACCTGGGGACACAGGTGTCTCCCAGATAGGAGGGCTGTGAGTTCACAGTGGAGGGGGTGTGCCACATATCCCATAATGCAGTTTACCTTCTTTACAACCCCCTGTTTGTAGGGGCTTTTAGGCTACTCCGATTTACCTTAGTGACTATGCTGGTTATCTTCATTTATTTTGCCCACCCAATTACAAATTGTAGTACTCATGTTGCCTATCCAACAGGTGTTGAGTATGTTCACTTTCAGTGATCTGTTAAATCTTAAAATAGTTCAGCTCTTTGTTAAAGAACAGCCTCCTGGTCCCAGTGTTAAGCACACAACTTTGTAGTCTCCACTGTTGTCCCCTGAATTGTGTTTCCCTGTGGATTCAGAAGAGACCTGTCCTACAATAATCCACACACCTGCACCAGAACTCTGTAAATGTACTCTTCTCACAGTTACGCAAAGCCTGCATCATATATAATTACCCATCACCCCTTCGCGTTCGCACATAATCCCCTGAAAGCACCTGGCCAGCAACCAGTTCTACTTTATAGCGAGCCGATTGAGTACTTTTATTGAGCGTGGGGTAAGAGAATTCCTCATTTTGTTAAGTCTATGTTGAGGCTCCATTTGAAGACGGGAGCTGGGGGTCTCCATGCAGAGCGGGCGAGGGGCTCGGCGCTGGTGCCCACAGCTCGCCTGAGCAAGCTCTTCAGGTCGGCTGCTTGGAAGCTCTGAGCTGCCGCTCTGTCGGGAGAGATGGATTGGGATCAATAAGACTTTATTGATCCCAAAGAGAAATTGAGGTGTTGCAGCAGCCCAGCCCAAGACGAGCAAAAACAGACATCAGAATAGACTAAAAATTAAAATAAAATAAGTACAGCAATACAAAATAGAGTTAGGTGTGTGCACAATATGCTAATAGTCACTGTAAGACGATCAAATATGTGCAAAATGAGCATAGGTATATACAGATTGGCGTCCTCCAGTGGTCGCGCAGTGTTCTCACTGGCAGCCCCTCGCCCCTGTGTTGCAGTGGTCTGTCACATGGAGGGCAGCGGGAAGTGGCCGCAGGAGGCCCTGGCCATTCGCCACATCAAGGCGGCCTTCCACGTCCAGCTGGCAGCGCTGCTGAGGGCCCAGCACCAGCTCCCCTGCCAGCCCTCGCCCACCCACCTCGACGTCTACAAGGTACGCCCTCTGGTTCGTGTGGGAAGGTTAGTACTAAAACTCTGGGATTTGACGCAGCAGCCTGGTATTGATATCGCCGATTTCATCTTTCCATTCCTGCTGCTGCATATTGAGGGGAGAATCTAGATTTTTGGCAGCCAGAATGCTTGAATATACATATCGCATCCTCATCTCCGAAATCAAATTTATTAGCAATGTACAAAACAGCAGTTCCATTAATAGGTTAGAAGTAGGTGGGTTAAAGGGCCTTTATCTCTGCCCTGTTTGTGCTCAGATGCCTCGAATGCAGGTTGACTGGACTGCCCTTGACTGGACTGCCCTTGACTGGACTGCCCTTGACTGGACTGCCCTTGACTGCCCTTGACTGTGCTGCTCTGGACAGCCCTAGACTGCGCTGCACTGCGCTGGACAGCACCGGGCTGCGCTGCTATGGGCTGCTCTGGACAGCTTTTGACTGCCCTGCACTGCCCTGCACTGCCCTGCACTGCCCTGCACTGCTCTGGGCTGCACTGGAAAGCCCTGAGCTACACTGACTCTGGACGGGCTGGGCCGTGTGTCTTTCAGGACGGGCTGGTGTTCCGGGTGCAGGTGGCTTACCACAGGGAGCCGCAGGTCCTGAGGGAGACGGTCAGCCCCGAGGGGATGCTGCGTTACCGTGACAATGCGGAGGCCCAGCGTCTGGAGCTGGAGACGCTGCACCGGCCCTACCTGACCGGCATGCTGCACGGGTGAGACATATCCTGTCTCAGTTATGAGGAGACACCTGGGCCTCGTCAGGAGTGTGCGGGACGTCATTGAGCGACAGCACTGCTCCTCTGGTCACAGAGCCTGCAGGACGTCCAGTTTCCAAAGGGTCTGACAGCTGGGCTTGTCAGAGACAGGAGCACGACTGTAGGAGCTCAGTCTTCCTGTGGAATTGTGGGATTGATAAGAAGGCCTCTGGGATTGTGGGAGGCTCTGGCCAGAAAGCGATGTCAAATTTGCTGTGTATAGAAATTTCAGAAAGCAAAAAACGCTTGGTAATTAAAAAAACTTGTGGTAACATGTTCTTGAGAATTACTCTTTTACTCTTTTCTCTTGCTTTGGGGGAAGATATCAAACATTGTGAAAGAAGAACAATTAATATAAGAACCTTTATAGAACAAGCTGTTCTCCAGTAGGTGTACTAGAGGAATATTTTACTGCACTCTGTCTGCACGTCCAAATCGGGCTGTGCCAGTTTTGGGTTCATCCTTTCAGGAATGCAGGGAAGAGGGAGAGTAGAGAGAGAAACCGATAGCCTGAAGTCGGGGTACAGGGGGTGTAGCAGTCCCCACTGCTGCCTCAGCTTGTGTGGCGTTGGCACGCTCTCCCCGAGCTCGCTGGGGATCGTGCTGGGATCGTGCTCGGTTGGCCCGACCGGCTGTCCGGAATCGTCCCGGTTCAGCCTGTCTCCCACAAGGGTGGCAGCCGACCTCCCTGCCTGGGGCCTGGCCGCTAACTCTCCTCCTCCTCCTCCTCCGCTGCCTGTCCCGTCAGCCTCCAGCAGCAGCACCTGGCGTTCGGCGCGGCGTGTCGGCTGGCGAAGCGCTGGCTGGGAGCCCAGCTCTTCCTCGGGGAGCTCAGTGAGGACGCGGCCGACCTGCTGGTGGCCTCCGTCTTCCTGCGGCCTGCGCCCCACACGCCTCCTGGGTAACACTTTCCCTTTCTCCGTCTCTCCTGCGCCGCCCGCCTGCCCGCACCTTCTCCTCCTTAGCCGCCTCCCCTCCTTCCTTCTCACTGCCGTCACACCAGAATCGCCGTCTAACCTTGGCTCCTCTGCCAGGCCCTCCCTTTCCCTCTCTGCACTTGGCTCTCAATCCCTCTGGCTCGGCTTCTCTCTCCGCCTCGCGCTCGCTCGCTCCGGCTCCGCGGGGCTCTCTGCCTCTCTGACAGCCTCTCCCGCATGTCTTTCATCCCCCAGCTCCCCGCAGGTGGGCTTCCTTCGCTTCCTGTACATGCTGTCCACCTTCGACTGGAAGAACAGCCCCCTGGTTGTCAACCTCAACGGAGAGCTCACAGGTGAGCGCGTGGCGGGCGTGGCCTGACTCGGGCGTCAGCAGCTTGAGGCAGAGCAGGGAAAGCCACAGAGGACAGGGCGGAGAGGGCAGTGGGAGGCTTTCTGAGTGGCGCAGAGCTCCAGGGGGATAGTGCCCTACAGCTGCAAGGGCATCCTAGCTAAAAGGTGTCAGTACCAGTTGTCTAAATAATTATATAGCTAGGAACAGACAGACATTAAGATGAATCTTAAGATTTAGACTCAGCACATTCTTTCTGTTTTTTAAATATTTTAGCCAGCCAGTCACTACCCATGATACCCATGGTCTTGCTTGGCCACACCAGGCTCTCTTTGTGTGGCCTCTCTGGGCTGGGCTAAGGCAAGGGACACAGCATTCCAGAAAGAGCTCTGTAAAGCGGGCTTTAGGCAGAGGTGTACAGATGCGTGCTGCCATGCCTTGTAATGCAGGTACTAGCAGGAGCAATCTTGGAAAAATTCGATAAAGTCGCAAGGGATAGACCATAATGATGGGTGACTTCAGCTTCCATTGCACATAAAATCCAGACTGTCATAGTGTCCACGAGACACAAGGGAATGTACATGTATTGATTCTGTCTTTCCAGCCACGTAAGGACAGAGAAAGAAAGAGCAGAGAGGCCAACTGAGGGTTTGTGATAACAACATAGTTACTTAATTGATCCCGTGAGGGAAATTGCAGTGCAAAAGCAGCTTAGCACAGTCAACACAACACAGTGTAATGAAGTAATGCAACAGTACAATACATACAATACTGTCGGTACAGTCAGTGTGCACTAAAAAAAAGTTGCTCACAGTACAGAATATACAAAAAACAGAACAGTACACAAAACGTTGTATTACACATTTAAAATATAAAAATAGATTGCACAAGTCCCTAGCATATATTGCAAAAAACAGTTGTAAACGGGGAAAAAACAGATGTAAGAGTTTAATGTCTATTCCAACATGTCAATGTCAGTGCTGCCCCTGCCCAGACACAAGGTGGATGTG